GCTGCTACACCAGGTGCAGCAGGACTTCTGGGTCCACCTGCAAGTGCAGGCATTTGCCCGACTCCTGGGTTTTCCAGCTCTGCTTAGCTGCAGGGCGCTGCCTGCGTCACATCTGAGCCTCAGTTTCCGCCCGCCCAATGGAGCGCTCCCTCCCCTGCCATGGTCCTCGGATGGGGTCAGTCCTGGCCTCAGCTCCAGGGCACGTCGATGCCCCTGCAGCAGGACTTCTGGGTCCACCTGCAAGTGCAGGCATTTGCCCGACTCCTGGGTTTTCCAGCTCTGCTTAGCTGCAGGGCGCTGCCTGCGTCACATCTGAGCCTCAGTTTCCGCCCGCCCAATGGAGCGCTCCCTCCCCTGCCATGGTCCTCGGATGGGGTCAGTCCTGGCCTCAGCTCCAGGGCACGTCGATGCCCCGGTGCAAAACGTGAGCATGAGCAAAGCCGTGTGCACGGATGTGCGTCAGACATCCGCACCCGCCACTATCACAAGGCATGTGTTCATGAGTGCCAGGGCACAAGCGTGTGCCCAAGCGTGGGATGCATGAGTGTGTCCCAGTGCAGGCCTGATGCGGGTGGGATACGGGTGCCAGCGACTGGCATGACCACACGTGGGAGCGGGGCCCTGAGTGTCAGATGTGTGACACTGGCGTGTCTCAGGGCTTCTAGCATGTACCACCCCCGCAATCGCTCTCCCTGCAGTGACCTTTGCTCCCTTGCAGGCCAGGGAAGCAGAGGCAGAGATGCCCCCTCCCCTCCCCTCCCGGTCCCATCTGGCTCCTGCCCCACCCCCCTGCGGCCGTGCCTGGGGCTCCTGCTGCTTGGCAGATGCCCTGGGAAATGCCAGGCGCGGCCGCCTGGGGGGAAGCGCTTGTGTGGCTGCATCTGATTATCCAGCCCCCTGGTGCCCACCCACGCGCTGCGGAGCAGAGCAAAGCGTCCCCCGCCCAGGGCAGCACCGGGGGCCACCGGCACCAACACTGGGCTCCCGGCAGCCCCTGGGAGCCCGATATCCCCTGCCCCCGGTCTAGGCCAGGGGCAAGGGGACCTGGTGCCCAGCCCGGAGGCTGCGGTGACAGCCACCCCAGCAGACAAGCACGCCATGGGGAGCTGCAGGGAGAGAGGAACAGAGCTGAACCCTGCTCCCCCAGACTCTCCCTGCTGGGAGCCTCCTGCTTAATTGAGCAACTCCTGCTGCGGCCCCGAAAGGAAGCCGAAGCTGTGGTGAAATATTTATAGGCCCCTGGATCTGCACCCCCTGTGGCCTCTGCCCCCTCCCCAGGACACGCTCCCTGTCTGGCACTGTGGCAGGGCTGATGCTCGCCCATGCCCAGGTCAGGCCAGGCAGGGACAAGAGCTGCCCAGCCTTTTGGTACGGCCACCCGTGGCCTGGCCCAGGAGCCTGTAGGCACTCTTACGCAGCGCATGGGCCCCCCAGTCTGGAGCTGGAGCCAGGTCCGTGGGACCCTGCCAGCTCAAGCATTGCAGACGGCTCGCATGGCCCTGGGTCCTGGTGCCACGCGGCCCCGGCAGGCTGCATGGAGGGGGGCCTCCAGAGCCCCCCCAGCACCGGTGCCAGGCCCTTTTCCTGCACCCGCGGCACTGAACTGTCAGCCCCCCTCCCTCTGCGCCAGCCATCCCTGGCGCCCACCTCCGCCATGGTGCTGTATAAATAGCTCAGTCAGGGGTGGGGTCTGGTAGGAGCCCCCCCACCAGCTGGGACCAGGGGGGCCTGGCCCTGGCACCCACCCGCAGGCTGGGGGGGCACTGCCGC